CAACAACGATGATGCGAATTTAACTATAAGTAACATTATTTAGATCATTTCAAATATAAATTACATTTCAGATATAAGAATATTGAATAATACCTCATTTAAGATAGATTTGCAAATATCTTTTGAATTTAAAAGCCGTTTTATCGCAACAACAGTTTGTACTTTAAATTTATTTTGTAAAGTCTGATTTTGATATACAGGTATATCATCTGAATAATGTACTTTATAAATAATACCAAATCCCCCTTTTGCTATTTCTTTTAAATTTTTAAATTGCGAAAATGGGATCCATTTAATTTCTAAGCGTAAAGAAATACCGATTTTTACAATAGTTTTATATGCTTTTAATGAATTAGAAACATTCACAATACTATCCAAATAATTATCAATCTGAGTCATAATATTTAGGTTTGTTTTGTGAATTAACTCATCTATGTCATTGTCTCCACTGTTTATAAATGATGTTTCATCGCTTATAAGTGATGTATCAATAAATGATATCCTTTTGCATTTCTTACATTGAGATTTATCTGTAATTCCAAAAATAATATTTGTTGTTAAACAATATCTACATCTAGAATAAATTACACGGCAACCTTTACACTATTTGTGGCAATCAGATAATAAATCTGGTACTTTATAACAACTTTGACATATATAATTATCATCCCTCCATGGTAAATAAAGAATTGGAATAAGTTTTTTAGTTAAAGTCAATTCTACCCGCCCAGAAGAAATTTTATAACAATCTGAACATATATGAGCGGCAACTTGATCATAATTCTTCTGCACCTTCTGATAAACTAACTTCCCACATAATTTACAATCCTTATTATTTTCAAATATTTTTAATTTATGAATATCATACAATGTACAACTATAATATTGTTGTACTTGATTGAAATGTAGAATATCTGAGCAAGTTTCACACCATTCTTGAATATCTTGCGTGCAAAAATCCGCATTCCTAGCTTCATGTTTATTACAATAAGTATAATTATCATTTGTAACTATAAGTAGATCCAAATACGTATTATTATCAGTTATGCAACTAACATACTTGGATAAGCAATTTTTACAATAATATTGGTAAAATGTAACTGTCCTTGAGTATTCTTTTCCACAATGACATTTATAATTCCGTACAATTTTAAAAGGAATAAACGTAATTGGTATAGGACTGGATTTTAATTTTGGAGTTGGATCAAAATCATCATCATTATTTGTAAGAGTAAGTTCCATTTTGTTTATTAATTCAAATCATTTGAAATACAGAACATTTATGTTTGTTTCAACGTTACACTGTTTCAGATGTTACTATTGAATGTTCTTTTCTAGAATTCTATGGAAGATACAAATTAGTCACCTGCAGAGTATTACATAATAAGAAAGTTAAATATTTGTGTGACCTAAGATAACGATAAAGACATGGTTTTCACTTAAAATTATTTACTATAAATAATAATTGATTAGTTCTTGATAATCAATATACGCACATTACAGCAGGCTACTAAGGAAAATAATGCTTTCGGCCGAAGTAAGAAATTTCGTTAATATTCATATAAATATAAGCTATACAGATTTGTTTATGTTAGATAAGATATCATAAACTAGTTTGATCCTTGAATTACTGACTGACAGTTCTCAGTAATTAGTCAACAACCCATTTATGTGAGCATAATCAAAATTTCAAGCTATTCTTCGTTCGCTATTTCGAGTTCCTTCGCCATCCCGGGTACAAACTAAAACCTCCTACCTGCTAGGTCTAACGTTTTATCCATAATCTAATGCTTGTATTATATTTGCCAAGAAAATTGAACTGTGGGTTAGTATACATTAATGTTCGTAAGTGCAACAGATTACGGTTTATAAGTTTATAAAGTGTATTTTTTTGCTGAAAGCCAAAAGACAGATCATCCGTATTGGTCAGAAAATTTATTATTCATTCCAATACATCACAGTCACCCCACACCAATATCTTTTTAAACAATAAAGCCCTTATATCAGGTAATTATGTTCTTGAAAATACACAGCTATGAATTTTATTACGCGTGATCACAATGTCATGCGAATGGCGCAGTAAATATTTATACTGTATATGGTCGATTTCGTCTTGGCTTAATTTTGGTATCAACGCGGAAAAGGATTTAATCCTCTGAATAATACGGTAATCGTTTCAGCACGAATAATGAACTGCGCATTAATTTCAGATCAGTTACACCGCACACAGTAAAAAATCTTGATAAACTATAAGCGTCTATTTAGCATCTAGAAAACTTTATTCAATACAAAAGCAATACATATTAAATTTTACTTCATAGAATGTGACTCACCACAGTATCAAATGCAACATAACCCATAGCCGAAATTTATTAATTACATTGTTTACTATACCCTTATAATTGCTCATATAAAATAAAAACCTGTCTTTTCCTTTTAGATTGATTTTTTTTCCTACTGTAATAATAAATTCAGATCATGCTTTATCACCTGAAGCCAGTGAACGTCATGCGCTTGCATGAGTAAAGCACCAGGATTTGCGCCTTGAGGCCAAGGTATCTCAGTACTCATCGTAACAGGGTATATATCAATACTATGTCTTCCACACCATTCAAAATCTACAAGAATTGTTCCTTTTCTGGTGACTAGAATATTCAGGTTACGAAGATCGCCAAACACAATATTTTGTTCATGCAAGGCCGCGACCGCTTTTTCCATATCCTTCATGACGATTTTGCGATTGTTATGTGACATAGTGTTGATTTTTTGTGTTGTTAATGGGTCTCCATCGACATAATCCATAACAATCATCATGAATCCGTTTTGAAGGTTTTCACTGTTTAACAAGTTTGGAGCGAGTCTTAGCTCAGCGCATATGTTGTGTGCCGTCACACTGTATCTTCAAGCGAACTTGATGACAATTGAACGGTTGTTAGCTATCGCCTTCCAAATAGGACTTTGAATATCCTCGGTCAGTGGATGTATATATTTGAACCCGATTCGATTGTTATTCTTGTCTTGATAAGTCGAAAAATAATTTAATTGCAAATTTCGGTAATAATTGTTGAGTCTGTTCATAGCAATTTTTAGAGCCGCTAGGAACTGAGAAATTTGACTCACTTGACTACCATCTCCCAGTTTAGGTATGAGAGAAATGAGGTCCGTTAATGGTTCTATTATTACTTTGTCGATATAGATACCTCTGAGAAGGCAAATCCAAGGACCTGCAATGACCAACATATATGAGGGATAACAGCACTGGTCTCTGATCTTTTTGGACTGTTTATTAGCAAACATTAAAGAAAATGAAACAAAAAAAAGATGGATGTAAGTTTAAATGGAATAATAAGATAATAAGTAATAACAAACCATTGAAAAATTAATACATCGATCTGGGACCAATAACCGTGATAATATAAGCTAGCCTGCAGAGTTGGCTCAGCATTAGTCGCACATAGTTCCTTAGTTCCTTCAAATATTAACCGATAGCAAATTTGAACCCCGTTAGCAGTTACCAAGACGCCGTCGCTAGATTTTTATTGTTATCGCTGCCGTACCCGTATGTCATAGGTAATAGGGGTTCTTCAAAGATACTTGCCAGCTCCATTTTCATAGCTAGATTACAAGCATTTTCATCGCTGAAAAATTGTGATACAGTGGCCATCAGTTTCTGAGCGATTGAAAACACATTATGTTGGAATTGCAAATTTTAATTTGTAAAATCTTTAATAAATTGGCTAAAGTCATCGTGGAAGAGATCAATAGGAGGACCGGTTTGATTAATGGATCTGCCCATAAATATTGTGGAGTTTATTCTTTGATTTTCCGCAAAGACAGAAGGAATGGCTCCAATCGATGGTCTATATGCCTTTTCTCCTATATTAACCGTCTTAGCATAACCTTTTTTAAAAGAAATAAGTAAATAAAAGATCAAAAAAATAATAATTTTGTAGATAGTTGGAATGTGCTAGGTCAAACAACCTTCTTGAATCTTTTGTCATTTAGCACTATCGTTCTCATCTTCGGTAACTGACGCTATAAAAGGTCATCTTAGAATCTGGTCAAAAATTCTAGGTGGCTCGACTATGACTGAATATGTTTTATAGGTGGTACTTTAGGCCAGTAATCTCCTATATAATTTCTTACCAACAGCTCTTCATTGTCCTGGAGTGAGATATTTCTCAACTGATCGTTGTGATCGATTTCTACCTTTTATAATTTCAAATCTTTAGTGTCAACATTAGCGAAAGTTTGCCTTTATAACCTCCCTGAGGTGGCCAACTAACTTTCCGCTATCAATATCAACGACGAAAGCATTCTCGAGATTATTTCCTTTAATGAGACAAAGCAAAGTGATAGTCATGATTTCAGTTTGTATAGTATTTTTTGCGAAATTTTATCATTGCAAACTAGTACAGCTCGAGCACCCTAGTCACATCAAATCCAAATATAGTGACCAAATTCCCACATGACCTTCGGCCTGAATTATAAATCACAAACTATAATTCTGGCCAGCATTAGAATTTAACGTAAATTTATTATATTGTATGCATAAAACTTTGTTTATTAAAAAATTATTTTAAAGACACTAAAATAATGTATTGAGTATCACACTCTATGCTTTTTATAATGCTTAACTACATATTCTGCTTGTTTTACATCTAATCCTTTTTGATATGCATCCATATATCTATATGATTTTCTTGTCATATGGGTTGATTGCTAGGAAAATCAGGTTCCGGGAATTTTTTAGCAAAATTGAGATTTTTATTGCATTTTAGTTTTTGATGTTATTAGATTAAAATGTATTAAGCTCTTAATTTTAGTCAAAAATTTCTCAGAACCTGATTTTCCTAGAAACCCTCCCATATGCTCTAATTTGAAATAATAGAACTTGATTTAAAGCAATTAGAATAACTTGTTGCAAGCTAGCCCAAGTATAGTCACAATTTTTATGAAAATATTTCTTGGATGCTCCCTAATACATTTCAATGAAATTCATTTCAGAATGAAATTATAGATAAAAATTTACTTTATGATCTCATTCTCCAATAACTTCTTGAATCATTTCTTTTTGAAAAGTTAATTTTCAAGAATAATGTCACATGTAGTATTGAATATCTTTAGATTTATTATTGTAACAATATCCATTAAGCCTGATCTTATTAATTGATATTCTTCTAAAATTTGTTTCATATCCTTGTTTAAATTTTTGTATTTTTCATTTAGGGTTATTTATTACTAAGGTTTATATTCATACATAATGGAATTAATGCATTAGATGCAAAAGTACTATATGAATAGTTTTAAATATGAGAATTGCATATTAAATAAACCTAAAAATTATTTATTAAAATTAAGAAATTAATCAAAAAAATAAATATAAATTAATTATTATCTATTTAATTAATTTATCAATAATCTACTAATTATTATAATTCTTTTTAAAATTCATTATAACTTAAGCTTCATATGAAATTTTTAGAAAACCTTTGTTTCTTATTTAATTGTAACTATCTAATTAGTTTACAAATAAAATCACTTATATAAATAATATATTCCTGCTCTTTTTTTGCAAAAGCTGTTTATGATCAAAAATTTATCCAGAATTTTTTTATCATTAAAATAAAAACTAGTTTCATTATGTATAACTAAAATATAAATTTAGTTATCCAGTTACAAATTAGGATTAATTCGTATTTCTATTTTATTACCATTAAAAATTGGCATTAAATTTTAATAACTGTATATAAATTAATGTTAAAATGATTATATTGTAACTTAAAAAAATTGATCAATTTTTTGCATAATCTTACATTTTTATTTCTTTCAAAAATGTATTCTAATTTTCTACTACATTTTTACATTCATAATCATTCACAAATTTTTTTTGATATTTTTTATAATAGAAACCTATTTTCTTAAATTAATTAGTTTCACTAAATAATTATAAATAATGAAAATTAATATTTAATAATTACTATTAAAATATTAAAAAAAAATTAGATTACCTAATTGTTATTTTTATTTCAATTTCAAGTAATGAAAAAATGATATTTATAATATATTCAATAAAATCAGTAACATAAAATTTGTATTTATTTCTTATAAATAAGAAATAAATTGCATTTAAATATCTTTATCCTCAAGTAAGCTTTTATTTTACAATATTTTCTTATTTAAAAAATAGAATATTTTTCAATTTTATAACATATGGCTTTATAAACAAATATATTATGCAAACTATAGTTCTTTTTTAAGTTATAGTATAATACAAAGACTGGCTTTTAGTTTATTATTTTGAAATTCAAGAAGTCACATATATTTAATATGATAGTTAATCTTAATTCATAGCTTTTATATAAATTCTTTTCTTTTAATTAAAATTGATTACTTGTTAAGAATTATAAATTAAATCATCATCTTCAATTCCTTCAAATTAACTTTTTTCACTATTTTCATGAAATTTTATAATGAAAAAATGATTAATATTTACATATTTTTTAGCATTCTTTTTTATTTAAGCATAATATTAGAGCTCTATATAAGCTGAACCGCTTGTAATCCAAATGAGTTAGCTCAGTTTGAGTCACTATAAAATGAGCTATGAGTTAGATAAGCCAGCTTATACTATAACTTAGTTCATGTTATAGCTCAGCTTGTTGGCTTGTATTTTCTTCTTTGAAAAAAATAATTCTAAAAGCAGTTTTTCTTTGAAGAAAAGTGATTCTAGTGACATTTTCTTTTAAGAAAAATGGTTACAGTAACATTTTCTTTAAAGAAAAATGGCTTTAGTAACATTTTCTTTTAAGAAAAATAACCCTAGTGATATTTCCTTTGAAGAAAAATGCATTCAGTGGCATTTTCTTAAAGAAAATTGCTCCAGAAGCGAAGCCTTTTAAGAAACTTATTCTGGAAACAAAATTCTTTAAGAAAATTATTCTAAAAATGAAATCTTTAAGGAAATCATTTTGAAAGTGAAGTTCTTCAAGAAAATTACTTCAGAAGTGAAATCTTTCAAGGAAATTACTCTGAAAGTGAAATCCTTTAAGGAAATCATTCCAGAAGTAAAAACCTTTATAGGATTTACTCTAGAAATAATTCTTTTAAAAGAAATCATTTTAGAAACATTTCTCTTGAAGAGAATCATTCTAAAAACGTTCTTCTCAAAGGGAATTATTCTGAAACTTTTCTCTTGATGGAAATCATTTTAGAAATGTTCCTCTCAAAAGGAATTATTTTAAAACTTTTTTTTGATGAAAATCGTTCTAGAAATGTTTCTCTCAAAAGGAATCATTCTGAAAATATTTTTTTTAATGAGAAATATTTCTATTGACAGTTTTTCATTTCTAAATATAAATGCAAGCTAAACGAGCTAGCTTATAAGTTGCATTGGCTTAGCTTAGCTTGTCAATTAATCTCTACAAGTCAAGCTAAGCTAAGCTAAAAAAAAATAGCTTGATTTGAGCTGGTAACAATCCAAATCAAGTCAGCTTATATAGAGCTTTACATGATATCTTTGTTTAGTCTTTGCAGAATTTTTTAAATAAGTTAATCTGCAAGTTAATAAGATATAATTTATCATTTCAGTTAATAATTATCTAAGTTATCATTTCTTTATATAATCTTATCATTATTTTTTACATTACAAACATCTTTTTTTTACAAGCTTTCTTTATTATTTTCTATGTTAATACTTATTTTAAATATGTTTATTTTATTTTTTTAGCAAGTTATTTATATATTATGTTCTTTTTAAAATATTAGTTATCAGTTTAAATAAAATTGTAAAAGTGACTTTATATATATATGATAAACATTAATAATTTTAGTGAAATGATAATTTATTACATTTTTTTAATAAAATTTAATATCAGATTTAATTACTAATAATTTTATCATATTTTTAAAAAAATTATATTTTATTAATATAATTAAATTAAAATATTATATATATATATTATATAAATTTCTACTAAAATAAAATGAGTATAACTTTTATATATTAATTTAATTTGAAAAATTAAATTACCGTTTCTTCCGAAAATAAACAACATATTTTTACTATAGTGTTGCTTATTTTCGGGTAGTTTAATTTTAAAAAATTTTCTGACTTAATTTTTGTGATACTCTCGTGATCACTGATCATTTATATGTTATGTGAATATACTTATGCAGAGTCGCAGAGTCTTTAAAACCAGTTTTCAAACCTGTATGCTAAGTGTAACAAATATAACAAAAAGAAGAAAAGTTCGTAAGGTAAAAAAAATTTTCAAACGGAAACGCATCTTATACTCTATAGAACAAAAGATACAAGTTGTTAAGTATGCAAAAGAACGAGGAAATAATAATGCGGCAAAATATTTTAATATCGATCTTAGTATGGTAGGACGTTGGGTAATGGTAAGCTTGAACTGGGATTTTAAAACTAATGAAAAAAGCAAGCGACTCAGTTCCGATCAAAAATCTTTTTTTTCCGAGGCTGAAAAAAGACTTTATAGTTGGATCATTGAACAAAGGAAGCAAGGCTTAGCTGTGTTATATGCAATTTTATGAAGTAAAATGGTGGAAATTCTAAAAGAAACGGATATATTAGAACTTTATGAAGGTTTAGCAGAGAATTTCAAAATGTCTCAATGTTGATTAATAGCATTTTTAAAAAGA